GTATTGGTGGCTGTTGGATTTAATTTTGGTTGAGTGGAGGGTGGAGATTGAGAGGACGAAGCTCTTGGGATAATCATGGAAGTTTGCTTCAAAATCAAAATCAGATTTGGTGGAGTGTTGAATTTGAATTCGGGGATGGCCAGCCATGGTTGAAATCAATGTTCAATTACCCAACTTGGGCTCAGGACTCGGATCCTGCCTGGGCCAAGTACTTCAAGTGAGTCCGATTGGAGTCGTCCGAGCCCAAAAAGAGCTGAAAATTGGAACAAACAACTGTTAAAAATAGAAAATCACGTAAAGCTAAGGAAGTTATAAAATGCATTAAAATTCTACAAAAAAATAGAAAAAGCATATAGAAGATGAAATGTGGAAAAAATCAATTTGTAGCTTGAAGCAATTCAGAAATACACCTCTTACCTGGGCATGCCGCTGGGGTTAGGGAAACCCAAAAAAAGGCAATGGTCCCATATTATAGATAAAGTGGACCGTCGCCTAGCAAGGTGGAAAGGAAGATACCTCTCCTTCGCGGGTAGAAATACCCTCATTAAAGCCACCCTGGCCATCACCCCGGTGTACAATATGTCCCTCTTCCATATGCATGTGTCCGTTGCTAGTCAGCTGGAACAACTAATGAGGAACTTCTTGTGGTCTGGAGAAGCAGAATCAAAGAAATTTCACCTTATAGCATGGGATAAAGTCTGCCAACTGATGCACCTTGGTGGGCTTGGAATTCGCCTACTTAGAAAACAAAATTCAGCCCTGCTTGGAAAATGGTGGTGGCGATTGGCCACACAAAACAATTTGCCGTGGACAGAAGTGGTGCGATGCAAGTACAAAATACCTTTCGAACGTTGGCTCCCAGAGACCGGTACACCTAGTAGACATTCGGGGGCCTGGAAGTCCTTCCTTTCCTCCCTTTTGGTTCAAGACGTTGTATCAGATTTCATGCTAGGGAAGGCCACATGGTCCTCTTCTGGTCTGACCTATGGTTGGGCCATACACCCTTGAGGGATCGGTTCCCTTCTCTGTTCAATGTAGCCACCAACGCCTCCTCCTCGGTCGCTGAAGAGATGATACTCTCAGGCAACAAAAGGGTTTGGAACCCAACCTTAAGACTAGCTTTAACTGAGACAGAACTTGAGGACTTTCTCTCTCTATCTTCCCTCTTGCACTTGACTCTTCTTGCTGTTTCTGGCTTGATAACCTCGTTTGGACCCCTTCCCCTTTTGCAACTTTCACGGTAACTTCCTACTATAGGAAACTGTTGGAACCTCCCACCTTTCCTCATTCCCCACCCACCGTGACTTCTAAAGTGTGGTCATCCATAGCACCCCCGAAAATTCAAGCTTTTAATTCGATAGCAGGTTCCCAAAGGGCCCTAACCGTTGACCAACTCTAACGTAGAGGTATTCCTTTCCCAAATCGCTGTGTAATGTGCCTTTGCGAGGAGTCTAACCCACACATCTTCATCCACTGTAACTTTGCACTTGAACTTTGGGGCAGGATTCTTTGCCTCTTTGGCCTGACTGGGTTACCTCGGTCTCCATCCCAGATCCGTTAAACTTTCTGTGGACATCCCCTGGCCCAAGGCAGGCAGAACCTTATGGTGGGCCTCAGTGGCGGCAACCATTTGGGGCATTTGGACCGAGAGGAATTCTCGGATCTTCCGGGGCACAAAGTGCGACAACTCAGCTCTCTTCCACAAGATTATCTCCCAGGTCATTTTCTAGGCTACCCACTGCAAGGAATTTCAAGGGGTCTCCGCTGCGACCTTCCTACCTCGCTGGAATGACATTATTATGCTCCGTGCCCCACTATCGTCTCGTGCTTCAAACTGAGTCCCTCCGATGGATGGCACGATAAAACTAAACTTCGAATCCTTGACCTGCTGGAGTTGGGGGGGTCTTTAGAGACCGCCTAGGCAATATCTTGGCTTTTTTTCCATAGTGCATAGGCCATGCTGATTTCCACTACTCCGAATCCTTGGGCCTCCTCATTGGTCTAAAATTGTTCAACCACGCCTGTGGCCACTCTCTCTTGATAGAAGGAGATGCTCTTAACGTTATATCTTGGGCTGCTGGTCATGTGGCTCCACCTTGGTACCTTTCCTCAATTTTTGATGAGGTTAGACATATATGCAGGGACATTACCTTCTCTTGGACACATACTTGGCGAACGTCTAACTCATATGCGGACCAGTTGAACAAGAAGGGTGCACTTTTGAACACCTGACAGTATGGAGAGTTTCACCCTACTGTCTCAGGCTTTTGGTGCCCCAGTGGCTCTATGCTTTTCTCTTTTTATACATTTTGTAATATAGTTTCTTAAGCCCCATATAATTTTGTACAGGGCCCTTCTGTAGGGTCGCTTATTTTTTGTCGAGGGACCCGACCTGTGGGTCACCTCGAAGGTCTGATATATTTTTCCTTTCTTCAATCCAACCGTTAACTTCTTCAAAAAGAAAAAAACAATTCAAAAATATCCAGAAAAAGGAAGAAATAGAAATACAGTGCTTGTAATAAGAAAAAATTCACAAATCATCATAAAAACAATAAAAATTATATAGAAACATATTTATGCACCATTTATTAGTGATATAGTAAAAAATATTTAAGTTTTTAGGTCCCGAGTTTGTCATTAGAACTCAGCTCAATGGGGTGTTGAGCCGAGTAGCTTGGTTAAGGTTTGGAACACTGGTTGAAACAGATGGGCGGTGAATCGTCATTGTTGGGAATCTAGAACCGCTTTTGGGGGCTCACTTTTGTACCTTTTCAGTTACATTAATAAAACATTAACAGTTTAAAAAAAAAAAAGAAACAGATGGGCGGTGGGGTTTTGATTCTTTGAAATGGTGGGGCCAATGGAATCACCCGACTCTGAATTCAAATTTGGATCCAAATTTGAAATTGAATTCAAAATTGCCTTTGAATTTGAATCTCATGGGAAAGTTGGTGGCCCATGATCTGCTTGCTGATTTGTACACACTGCTTCATGGGTTGTCACTGGGTTGGACATTGCTGTTTGATGGAAAGCCATCTCTTCCCCTCATTGTTAGTTCTTTTACCGGTTCTTTGGAGGTACTCTTTTCTCCAATGATTGAACCTTTTTTTTTCTTTTTTGAAAAGTTACCTTTTACGATGATTTTTATAGCAGACTTCATGGTCACGGTCAAGGTTATCACCTTGGCCCAGTGCCTAAGTTTGTGGAGATGGCTGTGTTTGGACTGATGTTCCCCCATGGCAATCTAAGTTGCCCCTGTTATTATTAATTTGGATTGAGAACCATGTGTGAGCAATAAACTCGGAATGGTGAATTTGGGTATGGTGGCCGGGTTTGCCATTTCAAGCAGGATCTGAAAAGAACCTAGTGGTAGAGAGCCAAATGAATTCCAGGCCACCTTGAGCAAGGCTGCATAAATATTGCCAATCTGTCTGAATATGTGTTGGTGCCATACATGAGGCAGTATCCTGTGGATTTTGATCCATATTTTCGTTAAGGTGACCATGGTTTTAAGCTGAGCCTTGCACAGTGCTCGTTGATCTTGTGACGGGAAGGAGAACAGAACACCTTCACCAACCAAGAATCTTCAGAAGACATTGAGGTATGTTCAACAAATTTTTGGCCCAAGCTATGATGCCTTTGATGTCATGCCTTGGGGATTGAAGGCAGACACACGAGAGGCTCGGAGTAAAGAGTTTCTCTTGGAGCTGATGTCCTCTCTGATGAAGATGGTAAAAATACAATCTATTATAGAAGTTTTTGAGAGTAGGTTTGAGGGATATTGTCAAGTGTTGAGGGATAAGGTGGAAGTTTGTTTATGGGTCGGGGTTGAGCAGGTGCTTCAGATTGTGGTCTATGGTCTCTTCTGTTGGCTTTTGGCAGAAGGGATCCAGAGCTGTGGCTTTGAATATGGTAGAGAACAAGGGGTTTTGGACTGTGGGAGAGGTTTTGGTAAGATTTTCAGGCAGGCCTGGGAAGGCGCCGCTCAAAAATGTAAGCTGGGTTTGTTGATTCTGCTTTTGGGTCAGGGTAGATCTCATTTCTGTAGGTTTGCTGGGTTGTCTTGGGATAATATGAGTAGAGATATGGGAGAGGTGGGATGGGGTGGATTACTTTTGCTCCCTATTGCTACAATTGGCCTTCCCTTAATGGAGTATTCTATCTTGTTTCATCTCTTCTCCATTTGCATTCTTGCAATAATGCGAAGTATGCAATTTAACAAAATCTCATAGTAGTTTGGAGGATGCCTGCTGTGTATTACTATGATGAGCATTCCTTGTGAAAGTCTTATGCAATTTATAAATTTGGAAAGTATTACTTGTAAACACCGATTTGGCTTTTGATTTGTATTGTTAAAATGTCATACTGGCATGAATTATTCATCCTGAGTAATTCATAAACTGCAACGTCATTGCTCTTCTGCTACCAGTGTTAAAGTTCAAGAGATGCACTATGTGCTTGAATAATGGACCTCTAGCAACTTCCTAGGCCTGCTTTTTATGCCAAAAGATTTGCAAAAAGAATTGGCAATTTATTTTTTGGGCCTATAATGGCTTGGGGGACACTGAGGTGAGTGGTAAATGCATGCTCTAAGAGAGAGAGAGAGAGAGAGAGAGAGAGAGAGAGAGAGAGAGAGAGAGTAGTAGTAGTTAGTTACGTTACGTTACGTATACGTAGTAAGTAAACGTAACAACTAACTAACTACTTAACTTTAACTTTAACTTAACTAACGTTAACTTACGTTATT